CTGCAGTGAGCTATGATGATGCCACTGCACTCTAGCTGGGGAGACTGTCTACAAAAAATAAAAATAAAAGCAAGGGCAATGCTGCCTTGTATTGACAGGTGCAAGGCATGAAAAGGCTGAGAAATAAATCTTTCCTCTCTGCTTAGTGTGGGCTGGACCTTTGCTAAGAGTTACAGCATCCAATTTTATATGCTGTGCATTAGAAGGGTATGCAGACACGGGCAAGCTTCCAGAGAAAAGCAAACAGAAGTGAGTAGAGGAATGGCTTCTGGTAGCTATCAAGAAAGGAAAAAAAGGAGTTGAGCTTTGTCAGTCTCTGAGTCAGAGGTAAAACTATACTGGTCATCTGCCAGCTTTGATTAGCTTTCCCCAGCTTCTCTGTTTAAGTGACCACACAGTTATTCAGAGGATTAATATGCTTCATTTCCACATGGCCTGTTTCAGAAAGAAGACTGAAATAGGAAAAGGTTAAATAATTTGCTCAGGTTCCCATAAGTGAGCCATGAATGAAACCAGCATCCTAATTTTAAATCCCAGGGCTGTCTGGGGGTTGTTTAATCTACCACTCTACATCACCTCTTTTTATAATAGATGCCCCCAAAGGATCACAACAATGAAAGATGGAAAAATTTTCTGCCAATTTCCTTGGGGGGAGAAACAAACTAAAAAGGAATATCATGCCTCACTGCTAAGGCCCATATAAACATCATCCCTGTGTGTGTCCCCCTGGACTGATGGCACAGGACACCGTCCATCTGATAAGCTGTCAGCAGATGGCTGGATCCCTCATTGTACCCATTACCCACCAACGTCAATTCCAAGCAGAAACAGTAATCAGTGCTCCAGACAACAGATGGGGAATGAGGAGGTGTGTCTGGTCTGAAGTCAAGGGGGAAAAGAGAAAGCCAAGTTTCAAATCCATCAGGTTTTTTCTAAAACAAATCCATCACATAGCAACTGGAACACAACAGTGTACATTCAGTGAGTTGCAAAGGGCGTCCCCAAGAGCTTGGGGCTTTTTAAGTATGGCCATTCTATACTTTTAACATGGAGGGAGGAAGTAAGAAAATCAGTGAACCAAACGCAGATAAGCCATATCTGGTGGAAATCAGACTTCTAATATATTGTAAAGAAGACAAAATCAAATAGCAACGGGAACACTAAAAAGGGCTGGGGGTCAGTGTTACCAGCTAAAAACCAATGGCTTAGAGCTAACAGGTCAATTGCATCAATATTACTTGCCAAATGTCCAGCCTGGATGCAGCCTGCCTTATGTGCACAGACATTGAGGGTTAAACAGCATATGTTGTGCCCCACTAAGTTCAGTGCCCCATCAGGAGACATTGGCACGAGCGCATACGGAATCAACAGGAATTGGACAATTAAACAAGACATGCCAAATGGGATCTTTTTCTTACGTTTCTAAGACAAAGACAACTTAACTGGACTCAAGGAAGATAAAGGGCCACTAAGTTAGACCACCAGTCTTTACTGACACAATCAGTCAGACTATCTGGCATTTTAACCCTTTTTAGAAACCATAGGTTTTTAAGACATAAATGGCTATGAAAAGCTCTTTCTACTAAGCCCAGAGTCCCACTGTGGCACCTCAGTCACCTCTGTCACTAACTTGCTGGGTGATTTCTGGTACACAGCACAATCACTCGATTACTTTTTTTTTTTTTTTTTGAGATACAGTCTCACTCTGCCGCCATGGTGTCAAAGCTCACAAAAACCTCAAACTCTTGGGCTGAAAGGATCCTGAATTGCTGGGAGGTGCCCCCCACAATGCCTGGCTATTTTTTTCATTGTTGTTGTTGTTTGTTTGTTTTTAGTAAAAACAAGGTCTCACTCTAGTTTAGGCTGGTCTCTAACTCCTGAGCTCAGGCAATCCACCCACCTTGGCCTCACAGAGTGCTACAGTTACAGGTGTGAGCCACCAGGCCCAGCCAGAATTCTAACAAATTTCCCTCCAGCTCCTCTACTTCTGGTCTAAAGCAACAATCAGTCTTGCTATAGACAAACTTACACTGACTCTCGGAGGAAGAAGGCCTTTCTATGAAGCCAAAATTAAATCATCCTGTTGAGAGACACACACCAGAAATGTCTCTGCTAAGCCATCCCTATCACTTCAATTAATGCCTCCCTTTCCTTGTTAGGGCTTCTAAATCCCACAGAATGTATGGCTCGAGTATAGCCTAATTCGGCTAGTTCACTTGCCAAAGTGTTTCTCTGTACACAATATCTCCCCTTTGGAGTATACACAGTTACAGGAAACATTTTAACATCTTTCTCCAGGCCTGAGCTAATCCCTCAGAATGCTAAATATGATAACGCATATGAAAGTGCCTTATAAACAGTAAGTGCTGGATAAATGTAAGGTATTATGGTTATACAAACCATCATTAGTCATTGCTGCAACAAAGTCAGAAAATTGTTTCCAACCATCTGCTGTTAATTTTTTTTAGGACTCAATACATCAACTTTTAAAAATCCATACATTCCTGCTTCCCAGGAAGAGCCATATGGAGGGTATGGAAAGTTGGATCCATCAAAGGCTAGTTCTCCCAGCAGGCCAGGGGTTACTATTTAAATGATACAAAGCAGTGACTTAGGGGTAAAGGGCACAGGAGTATAATTCGAGTGAGGCTCAAGAATTCCTCAGCATGCCTCTGTTCTCTGCCTCCACCCTACAGCTTCAGAGTTTAAGCTAAACACAAGGTAGTAGAAAAAGCACAGGTGACAGGAATCAGTCGATACTTCCCCGAACATCCATCTCTCCCCCAAGCGCCATCATCCTCTGCAAGAGTCTCCAAGACTGGCCTGGTCGAGTTTACTTTACTGAGCTTTACTGGGGAGACGCAAGGACCAAAAGATGAATGGAGATCAGCCACTTGAACCTCCGCAGAGTAAAAAACTAGCTTCCTTTCAGCATCCAAGGAGGGTCAAAAGCATTACAGAATAGCTCCCTGTTGTATCTCCACCTGCTACTTACAGAGATAAGGATCACAGAAGACTGTCAAGAGATAGGAGTGCAACTCTGCTCATTTTACAGATGGGCAAACTGAGACTCAGGAAGAATATGTTCCCCAAAGTCACACAAGCAATTAATGCCAAAACTAGGTCTCCTAAGTCTGCTAAAAGCCTCTAAAAATCTTTCCTCTAAAAACGATGGTTCTGCCAGGTTTGACGTCATCACACCAGCAGCAGCCCCAGTCAAGCTGAATTTAGTCTTTTGTTGACCTTCTAGATATGTGGTTGCAAGAGGCCTCAAGACCCCTTTGTAGTAGAGGCACCCTCTGACCCTCACCACCTGCCATCCTAAAAAAGCACTCCTATCCTGAGAGCCTCACACAACAGCAGCTAAGATGCGTTGTTTCCTCTAATTAACAAAAAGCCCATTCATAAAAAAGAAAAAGAAGACTGGCTCAAATTAACACAGAAGGTCTAGCTGGGACAGCCCTGGACTTCCTGTGAATGGCATCACTTCCCAAGACACCCTCCCTTAAAAAATGCTACCCATTCCAGCCCTGCTCCATGCTTAGAGCCACCCAATTGAAAACAGCCTCTTTATTCCAAAACTATCCATACCTCCTTGCCATATCTGCAAGAAGGGAAGAAGGGAAGAGACCAGAGGTCATTCTCCACATTTTACAGATTGAGAAACTGAGGCCAGAAGCCTGAAATCCAATGAGTTCCTAGGAACTAGCAAGTAAGTATCCAAGCGTCCAGTAGATTGCACTGTGCCCCTCTGCCTTGACCTTCCCAAGGGATTGCACCATCACGCTGCCACTCCTGAGGGACTGAGAGCTTGCAAGCCCAAGGAGGATGGGCTTGCTTTCCAATCCAAATGCTAATTCATCTTTTGGCTACGGGCAAGTGACCTCCTATCCCTGAGCCCCACCAGGCCTGTAAAACAGAGATAATAATCTCAACCTCCTGCCCCGTGCAAGTTTATCATCTCCTCCCCGGAATAACCTTCTACCAACATAAAAGCAATAAAGATGCTAATGACAGGTTTCAAAACAGCCCCAGAATAACACACACCAGGTTTCCCACAGCCTGAAATCTAAAAAAGACTAACTACTTTCCCCTTCTCCTCTTCGTCCTCCTCCATGATTTTATACCTTAGAACATCTCCCTGCACAGGCAGAGTACAGAAAGACAGTCTCACTTTTGGTCCTCACCCAGATTATTTTTATGTATCTGGCAACTTTCCTTTTCAGTCCTATATTATTTTCCTTTAGCACTGCTAATGGGTGGAGGGTGGGGAGGTAAAGAAATCAGCTCCCTGAGTAGCCCTGGCCTATGGGCACAGGAGACAGAAAGGGTGTGAAAAGATGGGGAGGTCTGCAAAAAATAAATAGCCTCTCCCCACAGATAGAAATCACCAGCCCAAAACTCATGAGTTACTCTGGGGCCTGTTTCAGAGTGCACTTAGTAGGAGTTTGGTGCTGCTCCAATGCCTCAGAACTCAAAAGCAGACCTCACCCTAAAAGCATAAACTCCCAAATGAAAGAGTCATTAAGAGAAACCCATAAAAGTATTTCCCCAAAGTTCCACAGTGGAGACAAGGAGGCTTACGTGACCACCTCCGGGAAAGAGTGTCACCAGGCCCCTGGGAGGTTAACTATAACAGAAGGCAAGGGGACTGGGCCATGGTACACAGATGTGGCTTGGAAAGGGCACCTGGCTGGGGCTGGACTTCCTGCTTATGAAAGGCCAGGGCAGCGCTGGGAGGGGAAGGGCAGCCAGCCTGAGTGCCAGTCGTTCCTAGGGTTCGGGCACAAGTTTCCTCACCTCCACTGTGGGGCTGACACGTTGTGCACAAGTGAAAGAAAGCCAAATCTGAAATTGGCACAAAGGCAGCCACTCATTGGAAGATCATTTTTAAGGGTCCCACTTCCCCCAAGGACGGGGTGCTGTATACTACCGAGTGTCCTGAGCACACAAATGACTCTTATCACTTAGGCTGCCCAGGAAAATGTCAACAGACTCACATGCATCATGGTGACCAGGTGACAGGGGTTGAGCAGGTAGATGACGGTCTTGGTGGCGAACTTAAAGCCCACCTCTACCCCGAAGGTCAGGCACAGGGCTACTAAGAGCAGATTCTTGCTCAGGCTCTCCTTGCCTTCCTCTGGCCGCTGGGTCACCTGCTCTGGCTGGCTGCCACGGCCACCCCTACCGTCCTCCTTCGTCTGCCTCAGGATGTGCCGCAGGGCCACCAGGATCTCCAACAGGGCCAGGGTCAGGACCACCACACTTTCCAGCAGCCGCTGCTGCCAAGAGAGGAAGGCAGCACAGTCGGGGCCCCCATTGCCTGCAAAACTGGGGTCCACGCCCCCATACAGCCAGTCCAGGAGACTTTGGTAGCTATACCGGGACATGATGCAAAGTGGTTCCCCTTGACCACTGTGCCAGAAGCAAGAGCAAGATGGAACACGAGCCCAGAGGGTTGCCCGGGTGGTGGACCATGTAAGAAGGGCACACCCCCACACCCCCTCCAGACACTGGGCACCTAGAGCAGGGGAGGGGAAGCTACACGCGAGGCCCGGGGTAAAGTGCTGGTTCTAACTTGTCCCCACGGCTGTCTGGGGAGCCCCCCGCGCTTCTCCAGTGGCCACCAACGAGGCAGGGTTGAAAGGAGCCGTTGGCCAATCTAAAAGGAAGGAGAGGAAAAAAAAAAAGGTCTCAAAGAGGCAATTGCATCGGGAATTAGGAATTGGGTGGGGTAACTAGCGAGGGAAGAAAAGGGGAACGGGGCAGTGGCGAAGCAAGCAGGGGTCAGGGGAAGCCGGAGGCCGAGAGGGTCAGGGCGGGGGACCGAGGGGACCCGGCA